CAGCATTGCCCCTAAAATCAGGGTTTAAAATATTATGCCCTCAAGATCAGGCAAGTGTGTGCCTACCACAAACATGCTTCAAGACCTGTAGTTATAGAGGAATAAGAAAAGTGGCACTGTTGTAGTTAGATATCTGAAGCAGTAGTCATTAGGTACAGAAAAACTTCTGTTGCGATCAGTTTTTCCTGATGCTTTTGCTCATTCAGTCCAGAGACACAGAATGAATGTTCCCTGAATTTGATCTTCCTGAAATGAGAAGCACTGAGATGTCCAGGGATGCTTCAAGACTGAATTTACAAGTACTACACACAAATATTTCTCACCTGCAACTAGTGAAGGCGGCAAAACAGATGTAAAAATACAAAAGATTAAAAAAATATGAAAGATGAAAAACATAGAAAGGCAGATGAAAGAAAAAAAACATGGGTTTGGTGAATGAAAAGTTTGAGTTAAGAGAGGGAATGCTCTTTTTGCCTCTTAATTCAGCAATTATGGCTCAGGCTGAAAGAAATATGACAGTTAAAAATATTAAATGTCATTAATGCAGACTGGGTCCTCAAACAGAGAAGGCACACACTGCACCTAACGGACACAGTGATTCTGCTGCTTTTCTGAAAACTTGTGAGGAGACTACATTGTATTTACCCATCAGGAGGCTCTTCAGTCCAAATACTGTTTCTTATTGTATGTTTCAATCTGTGTTATCTGCCCTAACATCTTTGGTATCAAACCTTAAAGACTTTTAGTTTACTTAATGAAAATGAAGAGCAAGGAGCAAGACAGCTCCCTCTAAGGCTCACTGGCTTTCAAAGAGAAGTAAAGCTCTGAAAAATCAGAAAAAGAAGAAGGTGCTTTTGAGACAGCCAGTTTCTGAAAGACAAAGCCTGGCTATACAACCTACTTTTCCTTACAGACATCATGCCTGTAAAGCCATGTCTCAGCACAAACCAATATTCTTGTTCTAGTAAGCCTGATGTCTTAAGACAGCGGCATGGCAAGATCAGTAAGCATCACCCCTTACTAGATCAACTCAAATATCTGGAAAAAACTATTAGGCACTGAAGCTCTTTGGAGGGCACACCTGCTTCTTGTGCATCTAAAAGCCTTCATTTTCCACTACATAATAAGGCTAAGGACACACACGTATGGAATACAGCACAATGCAGAGTCTTCAATGCTGGATTATTTTGAACCTGAATTTAACGGAGGACCTAAGGCAGTAAAGAAGAATGGGATCCCTTTTGCCAGCATCATCACTGTTTCAAGCACTGGTTAGTTTACTGAATTGTTAGTTCGATTTTATTCTGAGAATAAATCGAAATGAGTCACCTTTGCATCAGGATCTGACATCATTATAAAGATTTGTTACTAAAAGGGATCATCTTCATCTTTATTATGTACAATACTGTATTTCAACATATATTTCTGCTACACATGCAACTATGCAATCCAAAAGAATTGAGTGGAGACTTTATTTAAAAGGATAAAGTCCTATGGTCACAAATTCTATACACTGTTCACAGTCCCTCTGGGATCAACAAAGCTGATTTCAAGGACTGATGACTTCATGACAAACCAGACATTGAGAAATTCCCTTATGTTATCACCACAACACATTAATTGAGTCCAATTTCATTTTGCATTGTATGTCATTGTATTTTTATTAATACTAGTGCTAGACATAGCTATAAAAACAAGCTTTGCATCTGAAATATTTTTATTTGGTAATGAATAGCATCTTAAATAAAAGTGACTACAGAAATCATTATTCACAATAAACTGGTTATAAAATTGCTAAATGATGGTTGCCCAGACAGAATGATTAATGAGGACTCAGTGAGATTAATGAGGACACCAATAAAAAGGGCTTTCTTTACACATTTTCTCAGGGATCAGCTTCCAGCATAATATACTGGTTATGGTCAGCCTTGAGGAATGGTGCACGCAAAAGGCGAGCAAAGAAATGAGGTAGAAGTGGAGAACAAGGGTTCAAAAAGTTTCTTTTTTTAAAAAAAAAAAAAGGAAAAAAAGATTTAGGGAAAAGAGGGAGGGACAGGTAATGAAGAGACAGAAGAAAGGATGTTTTCTGAGCAGGAAGTTGGCAGCAGGCATTGCAGACAGAAAGGCATTACTGCCTTTCTTCTTTTTTATGACATCAGGCCTTGGCCTGATATTTCTGAAATATCATAAGATACATAATATAAATTATATATAAAATATTATAAAATATGGAAAATATGAATTCAGATCAGTAGCATTTGGGCTCAAATCTCAAAGGACACTTGAATGAAAAACACAGGGATCATTTCTGGCTTGTGGTAAATCAGAAAAGTTGCACAAACAGGGCAGAGCTCCAAGCAGTAATAACAAGATGTCAGAACAAGAAAACTCAAGCATATTCTTTCAAAAAACAAAAGGCCTTTCTTGTTCCCAGCTGATAATATTATTGTCATATTATTTACATTGCTATTGTATCACAGCGATAAGAAACACTAAAAATATAAGTAATTACACTATACAAAGTTACACTATTTAGTAAATAATCTTTCTAAAAGTAAAAAAAAAAAAAAAAAAAACAACAAAAAAACTTTGTAACATTTAAGGTTGACAAAGTTTTTTACCCAAATTTCATATGACATTTTGGGAAATTTCATAAAAATTAGCTTTTATACATTCAAATAATTAAGCTCCGCAGTAGTTTTCTGGAAAAAAATAAACCTATAAAACAAATATAATTTCAAATTTAAGTCAGTGTACGTCTGAGACAGTATGACAGGCAGATGCAGTATCTTCTTAGTTTGAAATTAGAGGAGAAGGCTTTGAAGAGTGTTTGAAGTCTAGCATGCTTCACTCCTACCGCCTAGGAATCGGTAATTAATAGAAGGCACGCTGCAGTGTATCTTTGAGGTGAAATGGATTGTGAGATGAAGGAACCCATTACTTTACGAAATATTCCTCTGTCTTTTAAAGATCACGTAAATCTTCAGTGATTTTGATGATTTTAATTTAGTCACTCAAGTTAGACAATAGAAGAGGCTAAAACTTGCTGAACTTGCTTTGGTTTAGGGTTAGGTTTAGATTTAGGGTTAAGGTTGAGGGTTAGTATTAGTGTTAGGGTTAGATTTAGGGCTAAGGTTAGGGTTTAGAGCAACAGTGAGGGCTAGGGTTTAGGGTAAGGGTTGGGGTTAGGCTTTAGGGTCAGGGTTAGTGTTAGGGTGACGATTAGGTTCATAGTTATGTTTTAGGACTAGAGTTAGCATTAGAATTAGGGTTTAGGATTAGCATTAGATTTAGAGTTATGTTTAGGGTTATTTTCAATGGTGGCCACCAGCAGAACTAGGGGAAATGGCTGGAAACTGAAATACCAAGAGTTCCACAGGAACTTAAGGAAATATTTAAGTGAGGGTGACAGAGCACTGGAACAGTCTGCCCAGAGAGGTTGTGGAGTCTCCTTCTCTGGAGATCTTCAAAACCCGCTTGGATGCAGTCCTGTGCCACGTGCCCTAGGTGACCCTGTGTGTGCAGGGGGGTTGGACTAGATGACCTCTAGAGGTCCCTTCCAACCTTAAGCATTCTATGATTCTGTGATCTAGGGTTTAAAGTTAGGGTTAGGTTTAAGGGTTAGTGCTAAGGGTAGGATTAATTTTAGGTTAAGGGTTAGGTTTAGATTTAGAGTTTAGGGTTTTAGAATTATAGTTAGTGTTAGGGTTACTGTTAGGGTTAAGGGTTAGGGTTTTAGGTTTAGGGCCATTGTCAGGGTAGGGTTCTCCTGGGGAGCGTTAGGGTACTCCTTCAAGTTTGAGAGGTGACCATTATGGCTGGAGCTTTAGGAATATTTAGTAACTTCTCACGTTGATTGACCCACAATACATGCCATTCGTTAGTCCCTCTAGACAGATGAAATGCTTATATCCAGATATATAGTCTTCCTCTGAGGAAGACAGTCCTTATATTCATTCTAAGTTTTCAGGAACTGCTATCCTGCTTTGAAAACTCCTGACTCTTTCTACAACATCAGACAAAGACTTCCTGACATGCCTCCCATGGTTGGGTTATATGAACTTTCCTGAGGTTATTCCTGAGGTAGGGACATCAAGAACCAGAGAGCAAGCATGATGCAGGGGAGGCTTTGTCACCTATTCAGGGAATGAAAAGGCACTCTCGTACAAGGCCCCTCACAGGTGTTTGTTGAGTTTTCTGACCATTTTTAGAACCACCTGAGAGCAGCAAGCAGAGTCACCACGTTTCAACCAGCTTGGACTGGTGAGCTGGGGTATCGTGGGTGCCCTGCCTTCCACAAAAGGAAAGGTTTCGGAGCCTGCCCTGAGATTGGTCAGGAAGCTTCTGGAAGGGGGCGGAAAGTGTTGAAAAGCTGAGCTCGTGAAGGGGGTGGGGAGTGCAGAAAGCTGCCTGTGGGTGGGTGGGTGCGCAGGAACCTCTTTGGTGAGGGTGACGGCTAGCATTGTAGCCATGTGTTGTCTCCAGTAGTGCTCCCTTAAGCAGTAATGCTTGTCTTAAGAACAGAAGCAGTTCTCCCCAGAAGCAGTTGGATCTTTGTGCGCACAGGCCTTCCAAAAGCTGTTCAGATTCAAAGCTGTTGATTTTGTTACCACCGCAGAAAGCTCTCCGCACGGCTGTTTTCTCGTACCGTCATGTACCCTAGGAGAGTTGCCTGCCCTAGCACACAAAAGGGCTGGAGCTGCTGCTGCAACAAGTACCGTGGCTTCCTGCAGTCCCTTCTGACTGCACTCTGCTTGTAGGGCCATGAAGGGAGATTGCTGGTCTTCAGCTCCACTTGCTCTCAGTCTAGCTAGCACCTCGGTGGTTGGAGCTGGAAGGAGAGTCTCTGCCCCCCCTGCAAAGCTTGTGCTGCTGGTGCGGGCACAAGTTCTCCAGGACAACTTATAAGCCAGTCCCCGGAAGCACTTTTGGGAGCCTGGGGTTCATGTTGGCCTGGCCCATGCATGGGAAACTTGCTGTTAACACACAAAGCAGTCCCCATGGAGGGAAAGGAAGCAGGTTCCAGGGCTGCGACTGTTCACATACGAGAGGGCTGTTTGTCCAGGTCAGGAATGGAAATAATTGACAGAGGGGAGCGCCTGTGCTGCTTGTCGGAGGACGGGTCTGCAGTGTGTGTGGTCCGTGAGCTCCTGCAGATAGATGGCAACCTTCTAAGCAGAGGCAGCCTTCCAGGGAAGCAGTGCTTGATGGGGACATTCACGTTTCAGGGGCTGCCATCATTCATTCGAAGACCTCTGCCTCCTTTTTCAACACCAAGGGAATTCTCTTCTGGTCTGGACTCCCCCTACTTCATTTCATGAAGAGCCCTGACGTTATCCTTGAGGTAGGGGTGCCAAGGAGCAGAGAAGCACCAAGGTGGGAGGGAACCAGATGCGCTCTTGAGTTTCCCCTTGCCACATGGCCGCTGTGCACTGCTGCTCTTTCAGACTGAAAATCAACCAGGAAACTGCTGGTCCTTCTCTGGGAGTCAGGGTCACGTCTTCATCAAACTGTCCAAAGCAATCTCTCCACACGCTGTTACGCTGGAACACATTGCAGTGCGTGTGTCCCCTCGTGGAGACATCAGCAGTGCTCCAAAGGACTTTGCTGTCTATGTAAGTGCCTTCGCTAGAGTCAGGGAGTTGTGAGGAGCATTTCTAAGCCTTGCAGGGAGGACATGGGCGTTT